CATTAGAGATTCCGAATTTTTAGTCTACGTGAAAAGCTCTCGCTGTCGTTGCGCCCGCATGTCCGACGATGGCAATTGGCGTTCAACTCGGTAATTGCACAAAGCTAATGCGCTCTTTACAGCTTTTCGTACTTCACGTTGTGTATATCTCGGCAATATATAATTTTTTGCGACTATATATATATATATACAAATCCACGAGTATTTGATATATACCCACATCAATATATATTTATATATATACATGTGTGTCTCATTTTTCAGCGCCAGAGTACCTTATTTTTGTTCTGTCGCAATCGCAAACACATCACTTATTTACTAATTCTATTAATTGTCTTATACATCAGCAGCGACTTATCTGTTTACTTTTACAGCTAGGAGGAGGTGCTTTACATTATGCGATCGCATGCGATTTTTTGATATTTATTGGCGCATTTATTATTCGCATATATATATTTACATATTTATACACAACAGACACTCGTACGTACACACATATACCAGATATATCCATCAAATATTGCATCAAATACATGCATCGTATACTACTGACACAACTCGAAACATAATACGTGCACAGTTGCTCCACGATTTTAAGTTCGACTTTTTTTCGTGATTTTTTATTTTTTTTATGCAGCTGCTGTAGCGTTATGTATGCGCTTATGCAATACAGTAGATTTTTCTTTTCACGTCTTTTGTGGTTGCTAACAAAGCGATACTTTATATCGAATTTCTCGCGAGGAACGATGCACGCGACGCGTGGATCGCTGGCGTCGCTGCTCGTTTCAGGTTTCGTTAGTGCTGCTTTCCACGTTGCTTTTCTTACGCGGTTTAGAAAATAATGCGATAGAAAATATCCAATAAAGTACTTATTTGCGAATAAAAAAGGGATTCACGACAGGTAGATCAACAGTGTGAAATGGTAATAACTCGCGTACGACGAACACGCACTCGAGTATATGCATGCACTCTTGTTAATTATTGCAAATTCTTACGTATACGTGTATATGCGGAAAACGTGGTAACAGGTTTAATAATTTGCGCGCGATGATTCGATTGAAAGGCATGGAGAACAGATAATGACCGAATTGGCGATTGTTTATGCGAATTATATGAGAAATAATAATACTGTGATAAGTGGAAAATTGATGCCAAAATTATGTGATTTACAAAATTGTAATCAGCCAGTAGTGAAAATTTTATCCATTGAAACTAAAGTTCACTAATTGCTTTCTCGTGTATTAAACAACTGAATAATTAATTAAATCTCGAAATATTTTGTCGTAATAAAAAGAGATACGGTTGTCAGTATAATCTCTCTCTTATCCTGATGTGATAGGATATAAATTAAATACAAATAATCTCTCGACGCGTACGTCCAGTCCAAAAATTTTGCTCGTTTCAAACAGCGTTCTCGTTCCAGCAAGAACCTTACAAAATGTCGCCCCAATGTAATTTTCCTTGAGCGAAAATTTACGAGCATTACTTCAAATTGACTCACAGCGCGCTCGCCACTTGCCGACCGTCCGTCGTTAATTAGGAACTCAAAAGGACCATTTGCCGCACCTGTCTCTCACTCTTTTAGTCGCGGTGTCAACTACACTATCTGTCTCGCAACAATTCGCGATATGACATACACATACATACATACACACACACACACACACACGCACACAAATATATATATATATATTCTCTTTCTCTGTAGCTAATACACAAGCCACTATTGTCTTTTGTCTTTGCAGCTCGTGTGTCTTCTGCATATATGTGCAGAGCGTATGTGTGTGCGTATATATGTGCCTCTCTTTCTATTAACCGTTTAATGTATGTATACGTGTGCGTTTCCTAACGAGCTTTCCAGCTTGCCGAAAGCGCGCACTTTAACCCGCGGTTCACACTCGAGCACCCAGTGCGTGCGCTCGAATTAACACACTCGAACAAGGCACGCGCGAAAGTAAAGCAAACAGAGCGAGCGGCACTTGGCGCGAAAGTGACGCTCGTAATACGCTATTATATCTATTATCTGGCTACATATTCCGTGCGATATCCGCGCATGAAGAAAAATTATTCGATGAAAAGAGAAATTCGTTAAAAAAGAAAAAAAAAACAACTGATAGGTAGTGCTAATATTCACAAAACAGCGCTTAAGCGTAGATATTAAAACTATAATGTGCATGGTACTCTAGGATGCTCTGAATTTTATACCTTGAGAGAAGTAGATCTTTGCCTGTATGCCGTAACAATACTTGAACATATATAATTAGTCGATTATATTGGCGATTATTTTGAACGGCTTTATTTTGCAACGAAATTTTGCAAATTATATCAATGCTTTTTTCAATAGTCTTTACAATAATCTAAATTTGAAGAAGAATCTCACCATTCGAGGTCTTGCTCGACTTGCTACTTCTCTCGATGGGAAGCGCAAGAATGTACAAGGAATGGTACGTGATGCATGTGCAGAGTTTCCTTTAACACGTGTGCGCGTATTGACCTGATTGATAATACACCGGAGGATGCTCGTGGAGGCATTTATCGTGTTATCCTCTTGTCCACCCTGATTGCCATCCAAACTCCGTGTCCTTCGACCTTATTGGGCGGGGCGAGGGTGCACCGAGTAACGGCGTGCTACGCCTCTTTGACAGATTTGAACACGGTATTTTAGCTCCATTGGTAGAGTAGAGTGATCTAATTTCTCCCTTTTCTGGGCGTTGGTAAGCACCGGTCTCTAGCTGATGCTAAAATTAGTCCGGTAACACGAGTCGATCAGCCAGCCATGTTACAGACATCAACCCTCCGTCCGTTCTCTCGACGGCATAAATACTCGCGTTCTGATGATTCTTATTACAAGGACTATGTCGTCCACACGTCTGTGTATACGTTGAGTATGTGTGTAAATTTGTCGGTAAGTAGGTTGTTTTGTATTCATAGTGTAAACCGCTTTCTCTAGAAAAGATGCCTTTTTCTTTAGAACAGAAAGAATGTATAGAAAACCAATAGGGATCAGACAGAAAACTGATTGTCCGTCGAATGTAGAGTTTCGGAGTTAGTGTCAAGATACCTAGGATAGCATACCAACGGCCAGAAAAGAAGAAAGAACTAGCGACAAGAAGAAAGGAATGTCAGGTTGGCTCTTTTTAACGCCTCCCTCGAAACAGACCCGAAGTCCACAAAACGGAATGTTCTTTCGCATTACTCGATCCAAAATTGCTAGCTACACGTTATCCTACTTTCACTCTCATTTTTTTCTGTCTTTCTCTCTCTCTCTCTCTCTCTCTCTCTCTCTTTATATATATCTCGTAATAACTTCGTATAGCATACATTAT